TGTGTCTCATATAATTGTAATCCCAACCGCATATTAAATGCGGAATTTATACTTCTCTAGGCATGTTTAGATCTTAGTTTCACTCCATGTCCATATAAGTTAAATACAACTTACTCTTATTTCGTTTTTCTACTGCATTTTGTCTGATTTCAGCAACATGAGAGTTGAGTACAAACCCTTTTGCTTCAGGTTTCTAACTTTTTTAATTTTAATGTGTATTTTTTTGGTTTCTTTGTAGTAAAACTTTTCAGTGCAGAATCTATAATTTTATTTGTATTTAGCCTTGAAAGGTTTCATTCCTTACAAAGGTTTTTCTGAATCAGAAAATATATATGTATGTGCCCATGGATTGTCTATACGTCTTTGGGTTTTTTATATTTCACACCATAAATTTCCACTTTTATGGTTTTTATGTGGTATTTTTATTTTCAATTGTGACTTTTATTTTTTATTACGGTTAAGGAAATCGACCCACTCATGAGATCCAAAATCCCATAATGATTTTATCAACCCATTGGAACTGTAATGTAGGAGTATATATTACAAAAAATTGATTGACCAAGCATAGTAGAAAGGAATTGATTTTAGTGAGTTTGCATGTACAAATTATTTTACTATGTTTAATCTTTCAAAGAATACTCTTTTATTAGTTACAAGTTAACATATACTACGTATATCAAAACTCTTAATTTCAATCTTTTTTATCTAATGTAACAAGTATTTTTTTTACTTAAAGGTTTTACACTTTAAGCTGTTTTAAATGGTGGTTTTGTTCAATCCGGTTCAGAATGTAAGATTTAGGCCATTAAAGTTTGGGGGAATTTGACTTTGCACCCCACTTTTTTTGGTGATATTGGACTTTGCGCCGCATGTCCATATAATTTAAATACAACTTACTCTTATTTCGTTTTTCTACTGCATTTTGTCTGATTTCAGAAACATGAGAGTTGAGTACAAACCCTTTTGCTTCAAGTTTCTAACTTTTTTAATTTTAATGTGTATTTTTTTGGTTTCTTTGTAGTAAATCTTTTCAGTGCAGAATCTATAATTTTATTTGTATTTAGTCTTGAAAGGTTTCATTCCTTACAAAGGTTTTTCTGAATCAGAAAATATATATGTATGTGACCATGGATTGTCTATACGTCTTTGGGTTTTTTGGATTTCACACCATAAATTTCCACTTTTATGGTTTTTATGTGGTATTTTTATTTTCAATTGTGACTTTTATTTTTTATTACGGTTAAGGAAATCGACCAACTCATGAGATCCAAAATCCCATAATGATTTTATCAACCCATTGGAACTGTAATGTAGGAGTATATATTACAAAAAATTGATTGACCAAGCATAGTAGAAAGGAATTGATTTTAGTGAGTTTGCATGTACAAATTACTTTACTAAGTTTAATCTTTCAAAGAATACTCTTTTATTAGTTACAAGTTAACATATACTACGTATATCAAAACTCTCAATTTCAATCTTTTTTATCTAATGTAACAAGTTTTTTTACTTAAAGGTTTTACACTTTAAGCTGTTTTAAATGGTGGTTTTGTTCAATCCGGTTCAGAATGTAAGATTTAGGCCATTAAAGTTTGGGGGAATTTGACTTTGCACCCCACTTTTTTTGGTGATATTGGACTTTGCGCCCTATTTTGGAAAAACTTTGATTTTACACCCCAACACAACATTTTGTGAAGAAAAATTAATGAGTGAGGTGCAAAATCAAAGGATTTTTAAGTGAAATGGGGTGCAAATTCAAAGTTTTTTAAATGGGGTGCAAAGTCCAATATCACCCAACAACTGGGGTGTAAAGTCAAAATCTCCCTTAAAGTTTACCACATAATTGCAAATTATATTCTATACAACACAGTTCTAAATATCAAGTCATTCACCATTTTCTCTGAAGATCTTTACCTATTTTTTTTGTCTTCTTAACTTATTTGAGTATATAAAGCAAGTGAGTAGTTAGTTACACATTGTGCAAGTGAGTATTAATTGTTCATTCCAGGTTATTTTTTAAGGTCTAAGTCATTTGATCAATAAGGTGACTCTATATTTGTCTATAACATGTTGTATAGTGAACGTAATGGTGATTGAGTTCTAAAAAATGTGTAGAAAAACATCGGTGTTGATACTTTTTCCAAGGAAGCATATTTTAAAGGTATGTGGTATTTTTCATATATTATGTACCTTGTGTATGTAATAATATATGTTCAATAAGAAATATCTTCCCCCTTTTTTCTTTTCTCCTATATTTTTGGTTGAGTTTCTCATTACTATATCCTTATTTCATGGTTTCTATGCACGTTTTTAGTCACAATACATTTCGCGCAATTACATTTTTCATTGTGTACACTATTTCATTTCATTGTTTCAATGTTTCAATGCAGGTATGCTATTTCATTTGACCAAACAATAAAGGAGAAGGCTGTCCTCTTAGGGTCATTGATCAAGGTATAAATTTTGAAATATACTGCAATTTCAGAAAATTTGTAACTCAGAGGTTAGTGGAATTCAGGGTATGAGTTCTAATCAACTTTGATGTGATGAATTCTATTTTAACGAAAACATAAAAGACCATTCTTCATTCCCATATGAGAAAAGCTGAAAGTATCCACATGCACAAGTGGGTTCTTTATTTCCATTTGTTCATACAAGAATCCCAAGGTTGTTGTGTGTTTGTTTTTCAATGTTGTATAAACACCTAACGGGATATCTTAAACTTTCAAAATTTACATGTTGACAATTTAGTTGCTAATAATCACTTTCTGGTTTTAAATCTTAATTTTGGATTCAGTTTTAAATAGTTAAAACACTCTTTAGTTTTCTCAGCCAATTGATCTAAAGGTGCAATGTCAAAGTCATGATGAAGTAGAACTATTAAGCCACTTTAATCAACTTGACCATTTGAAGTTTACTCCTGTTGCATTATATTTCAGTTTTTTCTAAAGATGTAATGCAAAAGGAATATATCGTGTTTCATAAAATGCATAGTTGAATGCATAGCTGAAAGCAAAAGCCATATGTCCCTTGCGGGCTTTCACTATGTATGTGTATGTGTGTATGAGTGTTGTTTTTCTTGGACTTTCTTCCTTTGTTCTTATGTTATTTTAGTTGCTTCAATTGGGGGTACATGTCTTTTTTTAATTGCCTGCCTAGACGAGTTTGGAAGCATCCATCTGAGCAATGACAAAAAGTGCAAAAGTGTTCTTTGAGATACTGGTGTGTTAGTTTGGTCCATTTATTTATACTCCGTATATGTTTGTTTATCACACTATGCCATGCCTGTTAATGACAAGATCTCTTCTGCTAATGTATGTTGTTTTTAGCCTTTCAGGTACATCTCGCCAGTGATCAAAGTTCACACTTTTATTATTGACCTAAAAAGAATACTTGACCAAATGTGTGCTAATTATTATTGAGATTTGAAATTCAACAACATGTATTTATCAAATGCAGGTTTTAAAAATAGGAGGTTGGATTGATGTGCGGCGGGATAATGAGTCGGGTGACATTTATGTGATTATATCTCCCAAACTGAAGTCTGACATTTTTGCAGCATAGGGAAACAATATAAGGCAGTGTAGTAATAGAAGTAGTATCACAACATCACACACTAAGAAATATCACTAGATAAGTTTGGAGGAAGAAAAGTGAGTTATAGAGTTTACCAAACACCTGATGAAATGTATGAAAAGTTTAAAAGGAAATATTAAAAGGTAAAAAGAATGATGAGGAAAATATATTTTATAATATAATGGTTATACTCGTATATGATATTGAAAATGATAACATTGGTTATAAACGAAAATTATACCATGAGACCGGTATTAAAAGGTGCATGGTATACCGGTCCCAAATATTATACGATTTTTCGCTTTTCCCTACACTACAAATGCTTTCTTTCTTTTCCCTCAAGGTTTGTAATGTTTTTTTAAATTTATACACATTTTGTAATATATTTTTTATATTCTATAATATATTTATATCTCTTTTATATGTTTTTAGATATTTTCAAACATTGAGTTTGCTTATTCTGATTCCTGGAGTTACATTTGATAATATATGGAATTACATCTTCTTATGCGTGAGTTAAATCTTTTTATGCGCGAGTTACATCTTATTATGTGCGATTAAAATCTTCTTGTGCACGAGGTACATCTTCTTATGCGTGAGTTACATCTTCATATGTGTGAGTTACATCTATATATGCACAAGTTATATACATTTTCAGATGTGCAAGTTACAATTGGACTTGTTTTACGTAATTAACATGTCCAAATGTAATTAAATAATTAATAACATTTGGACTAATTAAATTACAACTGAATTAAAAACAAAACATATTCACTATTTATGTAAAGTAATTGAAAAATTAGACTTCTTTTTAATTGTTAACATTGAAGTCATATTTTATTTCTTATACGATTTACATTTTGACTTGCCTATAGTTACATTTTTATCAACTTGAGTTACATTTTTTTACACGCGAGTTAAATCAGCCTGCTATTAAGATAAAAAAAAGTTGTTGTCCACGCTCGCCTTAGCTGTAGGAGCACCATGCTCACCATGGATGCTCCCATGGAATAACAACTCGGTTATAAAGGACTATAATATATCCACCCTATTGTTCCTATATATGGTAATTAATTTTATTCTCTTAATAGGTTCATCTCTATTAATGGGATTTCTTTGAAAGCAAATTATACCCAATCAATTCGAGAGGCAATTTAACATAAAAAAATTATTACCTAGTTTGCTTTCAATTAATAAAGATAAATATGTGTGTATGGGGATTTGGGATATATCATAATGTGTGATATGTATTATTATCTCGTATATTGACACATTTAATAATGCAAGCATTATTCTTTTAGTATTATTATGCATTGGTAGTAGATTTCATTTACTTATTATACAATACTGGTAATATATACTCCATATATATATATATATATATATATATATATATATATATATATATATATATATATATATATATATATATATATATATATATATATTCATTGCAGAATAGCACACTAGGCTACCCGCCGCATGCGCTGATCTAGTGGTGTCGCCCGCGCCCACGGTGGTGGCTACGTTGGTGTTTCCTAGCGCCTCTCCAATCAGACTTCTTCGTGAAATCGGTTTCTTTAGGAAACTCCCCTTTGGCAAAGTAAAACCCATCAGTCTTCACATTCCAATTACAGTACCTTTCCCCATCGCACGAAACATCATTGGCGTCGTATACGATGATGCCATGTGCCTTTGTGCCCCAGCGAAAGTCACACCAGAAGAGAGTAGTCTTCCATATGTTGGGGCGGAAGTGGATTTCTTTCTGGGTATTTTGGGTCATATTCCAAACCCCTAAATCGTTGTTTTTAGACTGACAATGCACTGATACTTCTCCTGTTGAAGGTTGGACATTGTTATTGGATGGGATCAAATCAAGAATCCTCACAACCTTTCTATGGCCAGCACTTACAGCTCCTAATTGCATTGCTATTATAGCAAAAGAGAGTAAAACCATGAAGGAGGAATATAACTTTGGGGTTTTGTCAAGAAAACACATGATTATCATATGATTAATATGTAGTGGGACTGGAGAGGGGTGATCTGATTTGGGCTTATTATATATGAGCTTTCCATGAATGTTACATGCTCATGTAGACACACTAATACACATACATACTTCGTACATGATAAAGCAGTTTAATTGGTTTCTATATATGTTTATAGGTTGATTTAGCATTTTATCGTACAAGGAAATGTAAAATTACATGGATAAACAATACTTACTTCTTTACCTAATCCGAAGAGAAATGGAATTATCCAATATGTTTCATTTAATAATGAAATTTATTAGGAAAGTTGCCCTAAACAGAAGTAAGCTAGGGATGTTTTTACTCGGACTATAATCTGTTATGTGTTTCTTCCAAACACATGAGATGTTATTGTCATGAATGAAAATAGTCACATGATTGAAAAATACTGTCATTAATTATAATAAATATTGTCATGTTAAATGTCTAGTACTACAGCTATTTGGCAATATTGATTAAAAGATGACAATAAATTAAATATTGCTATATTATTCCTATATTGGGAAGAAAAATATAGCAGTCCTATTTTGGAAAAGCTCCGATATAGTTGTACCTAATCTCCTAGAATGCTAAACGAGTCAACGGTTCTTTTAAATGACGAGTCAAGAACTGAATCGAATTAACTTTAGATGTCAAAATATATACTCCGTATATATTACCTAGACTATCTAGTAAAATTAAAAAAACAATGAGCAAAACATCATTAGCATATTGAAGTTTTGAATAAGAAAGGAAAAGATAAGCCAAGTTGGAATCACTAAAATGGAAATGCATTGGAAAAGGTTTGTATTATATATAGTATCAAATGTCTTCTCATGGAAAGTGCTAGAAGAAAAACATCTCAAAGATGAAATACTTTTTTCCATTTGAACTCATCATACCTTTGCACAAAATAGTCCATTGTTTCATTTGTATTAAGAAATGATGGAAATGCTCTTTCCCCAGTAGTGTGGTGTTTTTCAACAAAAGCATATCATCGCCATATGCATATCCTTGTGCACGTGTAAGAAATATATTCATTCAAATTTCTCCATTCATAGAGTGTCATGTGTCGCGTCCATGTAGTTTTGTTGTTTAAACTCACACCGTCCACCGGCCATGGTGTGATCTAGCATCCTAATTCAGACATCAATGCTCCTAATTCATATATGAATTCAAATATAGATAGGATAATTGGAAGAGAGTGAATGAATAATTTTTTTATATACTTTTATAACTAAAAGACCTCTAGTAACTAGTAAGAAGAGTCGCGTAATTATAGTGGGGGTTAAATGCATCGCAAACTTTAACCATATGTTTTAAAAAATTAGTACAATAAGATTACTTAAATGTAAATTTCTAAAAGAAATCCAGAGCATATTATAGTGATTTGCTCGAAGTTATTCCATTTAATATTGGTGAAATTCACAAGAATAATTCATACTTTTAGGAATTCTATAATAATAATTCATACTAAAAATGTCAATAAAAATAATCCGTACTAGCAACAGTCTCAACAAAAAAAAATTGGAGTGAATTCAAACCAATGTCCAATCAAATTTACTATTTAAATAAATGACAATTTAAAATTATTACAAATGTTTGTTTGATTGGTTGTTTACTAGAATTGAAGTAATAAAGTAAAGCTAGTAAGGGATTGACATTTTTTTGCTATATATACAATGCGTGATGCCAATGTATCATTTAGATTTATGATGAAAACGTCTCAAAAAGATTAATGATACTATAATATCACAATTATGCATGATATCATAATGTCACAATTTTATGACACAATTCTGTTTAGCAATCAGTGATACTAATTAAATTTGGTGTTACTCGTCCCCATTTTTTTGACACTTTTTTAGTATCATTAAAACTTTTAGTGATACTAATTTAGTATCACTGTAAACCATTTTTCTAATATTGTAATCAAAATCACAATTCAAACTTTAATTTATGAGAAAATAAAGTTACAATGAAAAATGTTACTACAATAAAACTAATTTACAAAATTATGTCTAATAATTTCTATAGTACGGAGTAGTAGAGTATGATTTCATGATCAGTTAATGGTAAAAATTGAACATAAATTATTGTGGTTAAAGTTATTATAATAAAATTGTAAATTAAAATTTTGAGTTTAATCATAAATATGTAAAAATTGTTGTTTATAAAAATGTGATTGGTTATGTATATTTACCATTTTTATAATAGTAATTCCAATTATACTACCGAATAAATTGTATTCAATTTTTTGGCATGTGATTGGTTAACTCTAGTCGTATTTTGCTTCAAACTTTCAATAATAATTTCTAAAAAACTCTATTGAAAAAAAATACTCTGTTGAAACAAATATAAAAATAATACCATGGACTTTTGAATTGACAAAAAAGAGACTAGATAATTACAGATCGGACTGATAGGCCCCTATCCCTCATGTCCAAACTGTCTGCTAGCTTCTCCCATTCCTTAGGGCATCTCCAATGCAATGGTGGGTTGCATTTCGACATCATCAAATGAGCACTTAGTGAAAGAGTGTAGTCTTCAATGCAAATAAAAATGGACTAGGTCATGTTGAGTCCGTCGGGCGGCTAGAGTTCATCTGGCCAGTACTGGATCTGGGGCAGGGTACGGCGGTGGGATGCAGTGGTTACAGGGGCGGGGTAAGGAGGTGGGGCCGCGATATTGCAAGATTGGGGAGAGGGCTGGGCGGTGGCAGGGGTTGGGGAGGCTGGAGCCGGGTTGGGGTTGGAGCTAGAGACGGTTGGCCACCGGAGAGGGGAGGGGTTAACTGACAGAGCAGTTGGTAGGGGCGGTGGCTAGCGGTGGTTGCCAGGTAACCGTAAGTGGTCCATGTGGTAACTATAACTGGACGGTCCAAGTAACTGTAATTGATCGGCTCCAAATAATTGTAATTGATTGGATCGAGTATTTATAGCTGATCGGATCGTGTAACTTATCTAGTCAGGTAATTTTAAATGGTTGAACCGAGTACCTATAAATGGTTGAAACGAGTAATTGTAATTAGTCAGGCGGGTAACTGTAACAAGCTGGATTGGATAACTGGTCGGATTTGGTGAGTGGTTGGATCCAGTAACTGTAAGTGATCGGATCCGGTAACTGTAATTGGTCGGATGCGGTAACTGTAACTGAATTGGTCGGATAATTGCAATGTTCTAAAAGGCGCTAGGTGCCTAGGCGGGGACATAAAAATTGTAGTTTTATCAATATTTTTGCATAATCATGATTAGTAATGTTGTGTTTGTGTGTGTAAAAAAAATATACACGCATATACACATCAACATGCATGAATGGTAGAATTGTCACATTTAATAATATATTATACCAACTCACTTACTCACTAGTAGCTTTCTTCATATGTTTTGTTAAAGTTAAAGTGCATATATCTCCTAAGATACTGAAATAAAAAAAAGCTAAAAAATGTTCGATGAATATAGACACCTAGGCAGTCGATAGAGCACTTTGGCGGGCAAATAGGCACCCTACACGGCTGACAAATTCACCTTGACGCCAAATCAATTAGTCGGAGCGCCTAGACAAAAATCGGGGTGCTCGGCCACCATCTAGCGCCTATGCGGGGACTAGTCGGGCGCCTAGAGCGATTTTTAGAACAATTGGTAATTGTAATTGATTGGTCAAGTAACTGTAACTGGTCGGGTAATTGTAACTGGCGTGGGATAATTCTAACTGGCCGGATGGATAATTGTAAGTTGTTGAATGTGTGGTTGTAACTTGACGGGTCAAATAATTGTAAATTGTCACCGGATAATAATCGTAACTCTGAAGATATAGAAATGATACAATTTTGATTTTAATCTTGGAAATGGTTGCAACATTTTGAGAAATTGGAAATGGCCATGCAATTTTGATATTTTAATCCTAGTTTTTTTTTAATTAATTCAACTTTTGGTCCTACAAATTTTTTGTCATTTCCACATTTAGTCCATGTCTTTCACTTTGTTCACTTTGTGATTCCACATCACAAAGGCCCTCAGCCTCAACTGGTATAAGCGATTAACCGCGGGTAACCACTAAAAGTGAACAAAGTGAAAGACATAGACTAAATGTGGAAATGACATAAAATTTGTAGGACCAAAAGTTGAATTAATTAAAAAAAAATAGGATTAAAATATCAAAATTGCATGGCCATTTCCAATTTCTCAAAATGTTGCAACGATTTCCAAGATTAAAAACAAAATTGTATCATTTCTATATCTTCAGAGTTACGATTATTATCAGGTGACAATTTACAATTATTTGATCCGTCAAGTTACAACCACACATTCAACAACTTACAATTATCCGTCCGGTCAGTTAGAATTATCCCACGTCAGCTACAATTACCCGACCAATTACAGTTACTTGACCAATCAATTACAATTACCCACTCTTCTAAAAATCGCTCTAGGCGCTAGATGGTGGCCGGGCACCCCGATTTTTGTCTAGGTGCTCCGACTAATTGATTTGGCGTCTAGGTGAATTTGTCGACCGTGTAGGGTGCCTATTTGCCCGCCCAGAGTGCTTTATCGACTGCCTAGGTGTATAGATTCATCGAACATTTTTTAGCTTTTTTTATTTCAGTATCCTAGGAGATATATGCATTTTAACTTTAACAACACATATGAAGAAAGCTACTAGTGAGTAAGTGAGTTGGTATAATATATTATTAAATGTGACAATTCTACCATTCATGCATGTTGATGTGTATATGCGTGTATATTTTTTTACACACATAAACACAACATTACTAATCATGATTATGCAAAAATATTGATAAAACTACAATTTTTATGTCCCTGCCTAGGCGCCTAGCTTCTTTTAGAACATTACAATTACCCGACCAATTCAGTTACAGTTATCGGATCCGACCAATTACAGTTACCGGATCCGATAAGTTACAGTTACTAGATCAAACCACTCACCAAATCCGACCAGTTACCCAATCCAGCCAGTTACAGTTACCCGCCTGACTAATTACAATTACTCGTTTCAACCGTTTATAGGTACTTGGTTCAACCATTTAAAATTACCCGACTAGATCAGTTATACGATCCGATCAGTTATAAATACTCGATCCAATCAATTACAATTATTTGGAGCC